GAAAATTTATTGGAACAACAAAAAAAAAAAAATCAAAATGTGGAATTCAGCAGCTGTTTGTGATTCTGACACTTCAGTTTCAAAAGAATAATGTAGATTAATTAAGAAATATGCCATTTGGTTCTAGGTCTTTTGGAAATAATGTCACCTTTCATAGTTGTTGCTGTTCCCTCATAAAAAGAAAATGTACCACAGATAATGAGCATTTGCAAAATCCGACACCTAATCTATGATTTCATCCTGTTGTGTCGTTGTGGTTTTTGGATAGAGTCAGTCAGAGATTGTCTCAGACCTCAACCTGCACCTTTGCTCCCTAATCCGTCCATTAACTAAATTGGCTTTTGGGCCCCGCTGATCTCTAAAATCTTTTCCTGGGGATCCGCTTTCACCACAATTGGACGCATGCGTACACAAAGTAAATTGCCCTTTTCTTCCCAGCGCGCGAATGTCTCAGGTGTAAATCGCTTCAGAGAGGCAAAAGGTCAAGATTCCTGTAAGCAGTTTCTTTATTTATTTTCCCTTGCTCTTCACTTTTGTAGCTTTACTTCTAAACCGGTGTGAAAGTTAGGTAATTGAATTGCGCTGAAAGCCAAGATTGCTCGATTCTAATGGCAGCAATCCAATTGGAGTTCAAGCTGCACCATATATCACCATTGATCCAGGAGCAGCTGGGTTGTGGGCTCTGATGATAAATGATGTTAAGGCAATATTGGGTTGTAATGGCTGTGCAATAAGCCTGTAATGACGAAAATAAAACAATGGATTTTATTTAGGTTTTCATTTATCATAAACTTCTGTCTCTCTTTATGAGTCCGACCCAGTAATTTGTTTAAAATTCTTGTGTTTCTGGTATGTGCTCTTTTGTCTTCAGCTCTGTCTCCTTCCCGTTTTCTTTCTTCATCAGGCGATGCCCAGTTCAGTGAAGCGGTAGGCTATCCCATGGTTCAACAGTGGAGGGTGCGCAGTAATCTTTACAAAGTCAAACTCAGCTCGATAACCTTATCCACAGGTCAGTGACTGAAAAATGTCATTTGGATTTCATCGTTTATCACGTCACGGATATGAAAATCAGTCAACGCCTAAATAAATGTGATGCGTCTGGTTTTTATCTGCAGTCTGGGCAGTGTGAAAATCCATTTACTTTTGTTCTATGTCGTTATTGATTTGGTAGAATTTTCTAAGGTGCTCAAGACGCTTTCAGGTGAGAGCACACGCGAGGAGCTCCTTGCTTTTCTCCAGCAGTACGGCAGCCATTATGTGTCAGAGGCCCTGTATGGCTCCGAGCTCAGCTGCAGCATCTACTTTCCCAGCAAGAAGTCCCAGCAGCAGCTTTGGCTGCAGTACCAGAAAGGTGAGTAAACTGACTGAGTTAGAAAAAGACCAAGTGTCCGTAGGCCTAATTTGCAAGGTTACGGATGCAGAGCTACTGTCACATGTTCTTTAAGCTGCCATGTGTGTTGATTTATCTAAGGAACTAGTTTAAGTGGGTCTGAATACGAAGAAATGAAGCACATCGTGTATCAAGAAAAGATTGCCTTGTACAGTGTATGTACTGGGATGGAGGATGCAGTTTGCTCCTATGTTTCTTTCCCCCACATACCTGACCATATGCAGATTGAGGTTCAATGTTCTGCATGCCACCAAGAGGTCAAATTATTTTTAATACAGCAAATCAAAACCTTCCTCCAACAAGTACCACTTCAAGCATTTAACATGCTCAGGCTAATGAATTTTGATCTGTGCAGACAGAGCTTCTATCTGCACATAAAGTCATGAAGCCATAAAGTCAGGTAAAGTTTTGATGGATCATTGATGTTAAAACTGAGTAGCACTTGCTTAAATTAGAGAGAGGGTGTTCCTATGTTTAGTCAATTACAATCCTCTTGCCAGAAAATATTTTAAAATGTCCACTAAATTTGCCAGACTGAATCGGATGCATCGAAAAGCGATGAAATCTTACTTAATTATAACCGCTATGTCTTTGAACGCTACAAGGCATAAATAAGGTATTAAAGTGAATACAGGCATTGATGTTTGTTTGTGTGCTGGACAAACCTGTGGTGGAAAGTGGTCTCACTTTCCACCACAAAATTGTGTTAAATGGAATCTCTTTTTGGCCATTGGCCCCTGATTTGACCATGTTTCCTTATTCTAAGTGAAGAAAATGTTTGTAGAAAGATGTATCCAGTATGAATATGTTTCATAAAGGTTGAGTCAATATCCTCAGCCTGTGTAAAGTGTAAAAGAAAGCAAGAAGGGTGAATCAAATTATATTTGATGGAATTAACAAAATGGAAGAGCACGAGCAGTTCTTGGTTTTTAGTGAAACAAAATAGTACTTTTCATTCCAGTTACTCTTGTTGTTTGCCCATGAGTTGTTCATTTCATTTTCTATTCATTGGACAAATGGTGAAGGAAAACATTGAATCATAAAAAAGATGACCCTGTGATGGACCAACTACCTATCCGGGGTGGAACCCATTGGTAGCTTATAATTGGCTGGACCGTGACCATGAATAAGAAAAAGAACATGTGTTCAAAATATTTGGATGGATATTTTTTTCCCTGGATTGTCAGTGTGCTGCACAGATAAATTCATGAGAAAGATTTCCTTTATCTTGGGCAAAACCTAGCTTTTAAATATGTTCATAAAACCATTACTTGTTAGGACCAAAACGAATAAGTATTCAGACCTTTAAATAAAATGAAATAAGCAAAAAAAAAACTTTTTGAAATGCTTTTACAAAAAAAAAAAAAAAAGGATTAGAGCAACAAGTGTACAGGTAAGCACCAAATTACCTATACCATTAGCAGGTTTTAGTCAATCGTAGTTCACTAGAATTATTCATTTTTGGATAGGCAGTTAAAATTCGCAGTTGAATTGAGTAGAGAGTCTGTAAAGAAAGCTACAGATTCGGGTGATGGTAAAGATGCTTTCCAGCCTCAGACTAGGAGCTCATCACCAAAAACTGTCAACATGTCAGTGAAAATATACAAATTTTAGTCAGAAAATGTGTGATGGCTCTAATTGCTAAAGATATTTCCCATAATTATTAAGGAGGGTAAAACCTTTTGTAACTTTTGGACATGCTTTCTTTTAAGAATGTAGATAAAAATTGTTTCTTCAGAAACTAGACACCTTGTTTATTACGTTATATTTTAGGAGTCCTGCGTAATTTGTTAGAAACAAACTTGTTGGTTGAAATAATTTCAAATTCAAATCTGACAGGTATGTGAATACTTTAAAAATGAATAGCACAAACTCATATTCTAAAATCAAATGTTCCAAACGTAGCGTAACAAAAACTACTGGAGATATTTTAGTTTACTGGTTGACAATGTTTATTGCACTCAGGATTATCAACAATACAAACATGATTTTGAGTACACCAATGGAACGACATGGGAGTTTGATTCACTGTAAACAAAATGCTGTATAATAACATGAATTAACAACTCTGCATCTGTAATAAAGGACATATTTAGAGGATGTGAGACACTCAACAACTCACCACACTGAAACAAGGACACTTAACTTTTCAAGCATTTGAAGCTTTTTTTTCTGTAACTGTTATTCTTGGTTATTTTGTTACTACTTCAAGTCATCACTAAGAGATTTTTCATGATAATAATGACATGCAGTTGATAGAGTATTAGATCAAAATGTATTTGGTACCGAGATGGATTTGCATGAAAATAAAAAGATGGACAAAGATGCCTATGGCAAACTTGATCTTACACTCTAACCTAGCTTGTCTTTAGTTTTATTTTTTTTAACAGTCAGATTCTCTGCTATGCATGTTTTATGTTCCTTACAATAAATGGGGATAAATATGCAGAGTAAAGGTTGTCTTGGGAACATTAACTTTTAGCTAATTATAGATAATGCTCTAATGAGCAAATCTGTGTTGGGAAATGCAAAGATACAAAACACAGGGAATAATAAACAGAGTATTGAGAGTATACATGGAATCTAAGGTATCAGGAGTCAGGGTGTATGGAAAATTGCCTACATTTTCATGGTAAAATTCAGGCCAGCATCCTGAAGGAAGCCTCCTATATTTTCCCTTCATTTAAAAAAAGAGAAAATGCATCACCAATTTGGAAATATTTGGTGTCTTTAAAAAAAGAAGTGTGTCATAGACACTAAATCAGCACCAGTCCCTTTTTTCAAGATGCCATTTTATAACAAATTTGCAAACAATGAAAAGCAGACCTTTAAAACAGCAGAACCAGTTAATACACCTTGGTGAATTTCAAGGTGGAAAACTACTGTTAACTTTATTGGGTGTTATTCTATTCTTGCTTTTAATCGCTATAAATGATTAACATAATTATATCCAAAATAATATTTTAGCAGTATTATGAATTTGTTCTGTTTTGCTCTTTAGAATAACTATCATGTTATAGATTTTTGTTTTGTAATACTTGTGTAAATATTATGAATTTGATATTTTTATTCAAGATTATCATACCGCCTGGGTCTCCTACGAGACCATGCCTAAACTCAGAGCGTTCCATAGTTATAGGAAACTAAAGATGTGTTGTTGGCTTCATTGTGTCTAATTTTACTGCCAAAAAAAATTGGGAGTAGTTAATAGTTAATGTACAATACACAATGGTGTTGAATAAAACCCTACGGGAAATGGTTCTTTACAGAAGGGAAAAATGAAAAACTATTTGCTTTGTCGTACTTCTACTCATCTTTTCTTTGGTACTCTTCGTATTGCTTTCAGCTATGATCTTGCAAGCTCATATAGCCGATCCACAGACGCAGAGAAACACAATGACATGGACAACGTCATGGTCCTCTGCGTCTGGAGAAAAGCTCAGGCTTTACTAAGTTGCAGGTCCAACTTGTGCAGGGTAACTTTTGCTTTTACTCAACAAGCCAAAACAACTGAGATCATACTAAGTGATGTCACAGTGTTACTTATCAGTTCTGTAGGTGGTTATGGATATATGCATGTAAATATTAACTATTTTGTTTAAAAAAAAAAAAGCGGAGCACAAATCACAAACATGAACCCAGGTTTGAGTATTTTACATGGGAAGAACAAAAATCTTAGGCATGAGGACTTTCCATATTCATTGGGTATGATATGGTAACACTACAACTGTGCTGGGTAATGCCTCAAAGAACAACTGAGTGCATAAATTACCCGTATTGCTAATTATATTGCTCTCAAGGCTTTATGACATTTTTTTTCTCTTCAACAAAACAAAATGTTTTGGATGTTTTTTGTTGTTGTTCTTTTTAGGCATGTTAACCAAGTTTTAATGATTTCCTTCACAGATGCAACTCTGGCTTCTCCATAACCGTATTGAAACTTTAATTCATTCCACTGCCAATTTCACACTAAAAGCTAAAAAGCAAAAACAAATATTAAACTGTTATTTTTTTAAAAAGTACTCTACAAGTTTATCATTAACCTGACCTTGGCTTCAAATATTGGAAGCATTTCTTTCCTGTTACAATTCTCACAAAAAGGTACTTGACAGTGTAGCACTTCGGATACTTTCATTTTTGTGTTCACTTCCTGCAAAACTGTATTGTATGCATTATTTCATTCCTAATAGAATAAAAACCATTAAAAGTTGATCAACACATTCACTAGAAATCCCAAACACTTCCAGAGTCTTGTCAAAAAGAAAATTCACCCAAGATGATTACTCTAGTCTTCTAACAAGTCATGAATTTTTGAAAGCATTTCTAATTATCAACCTCCCCAGATGCACTGCACGTTTTCATTCTAATATGGCAATGAGACCGAGTTAGTGAATGGAAGATCACATTGCATGTGATCCAACTAGAATGGACACACACCCTTTGCAAATTGCACCAACGTGCTTAATGCATGTTTTAAAAAAAACAAACAAAAAAAAACAGTCTTTTTGTCTGTGTTTTTACTAGCAGACTTCTACATATAAAAATGTCTCAAAAAGGACTGAAATGGCAGCATTTAGCACATTTTTTTTCAATATTTTGAGACATGGAAAGGTGTATGCCCTATTTTAGTTTCCATCACTCAAATCATCACAGCTCATTTGGAATATAAGAACATTTCTTCTCTGGTTATTACACACACAGATCTATCAACCTTGAGAAAACTGGCACTATGCTGGTGGAATCAAATGGAGATGAAGAGGTCTGACCCAGGCAATAAACCATGAATTGACTCAAATTTGGAGCAAGGTAGATGGACTTTGATTGCAGCATTGTATATTCAAGAAAATAAATATGATTTATAATGTAAAAGTAATTTAAATCAAAAGAGAAATTCTAAAATGTCACTTGAATGAATCTTAAACAGGTACATCTAAGACAATATGAATATTGTAGAAAAGGTTTAATATTTTTTGTCATTCATTTCAGAAAGTGATTGTCCTATATTATATAGATTTTTTACACATAGTAATATCTCAAGCCCTTATTTCTTTAATTTTGTTAATGGCTTACAAATAATGAAAACTCAAATTTGAGTGTTTCAAAAAATGCCAATATAGTAGTAGAGTTAAATATTGGCAACTATTATCACACCTTAATCAGCTGATTAATTCAAAACACCTGCAAAGGTTTCCTTTCCTTAAGCTCTAAATGGTCTCTTTGTCCGAGTCAGTGGGCCACACATTCATGGGGAAGAATGGTGATTTGACATATGTCCAGAAGACAATCACTGACACCCTTCACAGTGAGGCAAGTCACAAAAAGGCCATTTTAAAGAGTGTGTATCCAAGTATGTACTTGTACAAAGTTAAAGGAAAAAGGTGTGGCTGGAAAAGGTGCAACAAGGAGAACCACAGCCTTAAAAGGATTGTCAAGCAAAATGCATTAAACAATTGAGGAAGCTTCACGTAGGGTGGATTGAGGCTGGAGTCGGTGCATCAAGAGCCACTTACAGACAAGTGCTATACTGAACCCACTCCATTTCTAAGCACACGTCCACACTTAGGGTAGCACCAGCAATCTGGCCTGAACTGAATCTCACAGAGAATCAATGGGTTGTAGGCAAGAGGAAGATGAGACGTCAGACCCAACAAGGCAGATGACCTGAAGGCAGCTGTCATAGCACCTTGGGCTTTAATTACAAATCAGCAAAGCCACAGGCTAATTGCCTCCATGCCACGTTGCATTACTGCAGTTATTCATGCAAAAGGAGGCTCAGCCAGGTATTGAGAGCATTGAACACTTTTCAGAAGCCTGATATTTCTGTTTTAAATATTCCGTTTTTATTTAATCTATAAGTCATAATGATTGACACGGCAATAAACAAAGGCTTGACATTTTCACTTTATTATTCTATGTCATATATGAGTTCCAATTTCTGAAAGGAATGACAAAATATACTGAACTTTTACACAATATTCCCTTTTTTTTTATTTATTTATTTTTTTTTTTTATTTCTGGAGATGTACCTCTAACTCCACACCACATCAGGTTATGATTTTATGTTTAAATACTCTTTTCTATAAGAAGTAAATATTTAACATTTAATTTCCCCTGAATATTACAGAATGAAAGCTGATTCTTAGTTACTTTTTGCCATTAGAGACAGGTCAAGTAAATTTTAAAGCTGCCAGCTGCATTCAGTAGAAATATTGTTAGTGTGCTACTAAAACCAAATAACGGGACATAGTGACAAGTCAGTAATAAAGTGCATTGCAGGCCAACAGCCTTGGTTTTATTTATTTCATATGTAAATCTGAAAATATTTTCTACCCCTCTGACAAATCTTTCTCAGTCAAACTGCAGTAAGTCACACAGTCATGCTTGAATGGGGACACCAAGGCTAATATAGAAGGAAATGTCGGCTCTTTGTGCTTCATAGCTTAAACACCAATGGCTTGTTTTTCATGATCTACTTAGACAACTTGCTATAGTGATAAATACAATAAGCCACCTGGGAACCAAGCTGGGAAAGAAAATAGTCTTTGCTGCAGCTACACTACAGAGACTAGTTAATAGTGTTATCTCTTCTCAAACTTCAACCAGACCAGCCACACATACCCACTAAATCTCTTAAGTTCACAGGGAGAAAAAGTGTTTCTAGGAAGTTGAAGAATGCCTCCTTTGAACGTATGTAAAGACTTTGACACAGTGGTCCCAACAATCAAGCACTAGCAGCTGTCCTTTCTGGGTGGTGGCCACTCCCACGGGACAGGTCAGTCCTTCTTGGATCAGAATGTTAAATCCTCCTTCTTTGGGAAACTGAAGAATTTCTTTCCTGCCACTGTCTGTGACCAGCAAATCACCGTTGGCATCCACACACATGCCAGTGATGCAGCGGAAGTCCTCTGTTTCGGAGAAAAAGTGGCTGAGCTGCTTCCCCAGCTGGCCATCGGTACCCACTGAGCCAATGGAGAAGCCCCCTTCGAAGTGGGGCTCGTTCTGGCGCTTTTCGAAGTTCAGGGCCAGGCCTTGGGTAAAGTACACGGTTCCTGCTGCATCACATGTCACAAACTTTGGCCGGACTGCAGAGCACAATCGGTTATAGCTGACTACACCTACACTGCGGTCCACTGCAAGGCACCACAGCTTCCCCCCTTCCACGTCTGACACCACAAACTGGCCTGATGGCATGGCAGTAATTCCCCAAGGCTTAATCAGCTGGTTTTTATGGCAGGCCACATAATGCCCATCCATGGTGTAGACTTTAACTGAATTATCATAGTTGTCGGTAACACCAATCAGGCCTTGAGGAGTCACAGCTATGGATAAGGGGATAAGGTTAGGCAGGTCGGCACCAAAGAAGCTCAGAACAAAGTTGTCGATGCTTGCATTGCGTCGGATTTCGCGCGGGACACCTTTACGATTGAAAATCTGGACACGGCAGTTCCCTCGATCGGCCACCAGTATATCACCTTGTGGTGAAACACAAATGCTAACGGGTAAATTAAACATTCCAGGCAGCGCTCCTTTACAGCCCATCTTCTTTACAAACTGGCATACTGGTGGCCTGGAACTAGCCCCCGCAGATTCCCCACCTGCGTCCATGGACTTTGACTTAAAACTACTTGGTGAACCACATACCGTCTCATCTACAGCTGAAACCATGTCAACATCACGGTAAAGATCCCTTGGAACCATTACAGACCCACCTATAGCGCCAGAGGTCACATCCTCTGCTTTAAACTCTAAAATTGTTTCTAACCCACCTTTCTCATCATCTGTATTGACTGTGTAAGTGTTTGTGGTCAAACAGCCCACTTCTATGGGATTAGAGTGTTCTGCTCTGGCCAGTGTTGGCTCTTGTAGCTGGAACTGTGTGGGTAAACTGCTTCTGAGGTCCAGCTCTTCATCATCACTTCCTGCGCCATCATCCTTTAATAAGGCGATGTCACTCTGTCTTACCCGTACAGTCAGATAATCGCAACGTGAAACCACTTTTACCTCTGCGAGGTTAAGAAGATATGTCTGCTCCTCAAGAACCTGTGCATTGAGTTTTTCCACTTCTCCCAAAGAGGCTGTGAATGTCCTTCGAGATTTGCTGAGCTCTTCCTGAAGATGAAGCTCTGCCGTAGAATACTCTTGCTGAACCGCCCGGTACTTTTGTCTCAAGCTCTTGGAAATGTTTTCAAGTGTTGTCTTCTTCTTCTGAATATTGCCCATGACGTCACGGAGGGCAGCCAGTCTACCGCCCAGTTCTTTACGGCGCTGCTCAGCTGCCACTTTTATCGGCTGAACTGAATGGCCTTCGTGCAGGTGGCCATCCGCTTTACAGACCTCACAGAGAACTGTGGTGCAGTCATAGCAGAACTGTCTCGGTAGCCGGTTGCCGCAGGACTTGCACATTAGCGCAGCGGCGGCAGCAGTGCAGGTCAAAGTGCAATCTATAATTTTCAGTACTGTAAGATTATCTGCCAGCTGGGAGATGCTGCTCATCCTGGAGACCTTGCTGCAGAAGGGGCAGCGGACACCATTGATGGTATTAGCCAACAGTTTCTCCAGACAAAGTCGACACACAGTATGCCCACACTGCAGGAGTTTGGGTCTGAGTTGATCCTGGTTGTAAGTTTCCAGGCAGATAGGGCATTCGAGAACCTCCCTCATTAGGTCGGGGTCCAGGGAAGAGCATGCTGCTGCCATTGTGGTCTTTTCCCTTGAGTGGAAATAAAAACAAATTGTAATATTTTCCAATTTCATCAAAAAAAAACAACTTTAAATTAAATTACAGTTGACAATCAAAAATCTACACAAAACCCTATTTTTGCTTAGCTTCTAATGATTCACAGTTGAGATGAGCTTCTATGCTCTATATCATCATAAAGACATAGCTAATTCACTACATTGTGATGATAATGTTAAATTCTAAGGAAGGATATTTGCAAGTCCCAAAACAGACAGGTTAGTTAGGATATACACTGCTGTGTTTGTGTTTATAACTAAACAAAGCAGAATTATCCATCCATCCATCTATCCATCAAATTAATAAATCAATGTCACTGCATTTCCCAAAAACATAAACATCTATATCAAAACTAATATTTTAAAAGCCTAAGAGATAAGCAATCTTAAATATCTTAACATATTTAAGATTTTCTAAAGCCAAAAAAATTGAGTAATACTGTATATTGGAGATTTTAATACTGAAAGTGTGGCAGAAATTGATGTTCTCTGTCATCTTTATTGTCACTACAATATTCCAAAATACCATGAAAAAATTGACAACCTTATAATTCACTCCTACTTCACATGCAAGTGTCAGATTTACAGAATGGTGAGTTTTAAATTGAATGGTGATGCAATTAAAATGGCACACTCAAGGACGATTGAAAACCGGAAAGATCCTGCATTGTTTTACAGGGATGGTGATGTCATTTTTTTTTTTTTTTTATAATCTACAAATCAATATATTATCTCAATTAGAAAATAAATTCCTAAAAAGTAAGACTTTAAATGCATGTATATTTATTTGTAAAAAAGACAAGTTACATAATTTCAACTGTCAAGTTGTAATAAAATAATCATATTTTAGTTCCTCTGCTATTTGTATTTGTAAATAAAGCTACTTAATAACTAGTGTAATGTAATTTCAGTAGCTGATCGCTACGAAAGCATGTCGTTAGTATAACTGTCAGATAGCTCCTGTATGTCACACAGGACAAGAAGAAACGAACTCAACTTAGTGAGACGAGAAAAGAAAAACTTACCGACGAAAAGAAATCCTATGCTAAAAGCTGACTGCTATGTTGAGCTAGTGTTTTCTGCGGGTTAGCAGACATGATGTCATATATGTACGCGATCATATGCGAGCATGTCACACTTTGTTCAACAACGCCTGCATATCAATTGCAGTTTAGAAACTGTCTGGTCCCTTAACTTGCGCACAACATGAATGTAAAGGCCTCTCTATCCGACAGCAAATGTTCACGGTGTACTGAAGGGTAAACACATCGAGACGGCGTCATTAAAATATATATATACAGGAATGATTGAAACAGGACGTGCATTCAAAACAACTGGTAATTATATCGCTTTTGTTCGTAGATTTGCTTTTTAGCTTTACCTTTCCTCCAACGTCTGATAGAGGAGAAGTAAGAGGCTGTGTAGTCACTGAGCTACAGCCGCTGTATGGAGCTGCAATGCTGATGACTCTTCCTACGCAGAGCCGTTGGTTACGTAAAGCGCCTGCATCAGAGACCGATGGTTGTTTTGATTGGCTAGTGAACAAGGTCTCGCGCCGTGCGTCCATTTACTGAGAATTATTGTGCGGTTTCACCATGTCATGATCCATTAAATACTCAAATAATACCGCAATGTTTTGTGGAGATATTTTGTTCTTCTTTGCAAATAACTATCTTTTCAAAGGACGACACGAGGCCATGTTAAACGGCAAATGACAATAAAAATAATTTTAGTTAATAATCTACCTGGACAAACTTAACAGAGATGAGTTTCAATTAACTTAACACTCAAAGGTTAAATTACGTACAAAACTATTTGTTAAGGTACAACAGTAATGACTGAGAACGCCCGCTAGATGTCAGCATAGATCCACAGTAGAATGTTGATCATATCAGATAGATAGATAGATAGATAGATAGATAGATAGATAGATAGATAGATAGATAGATAGATAGATTCTAAAACAAAAAAATGTCTAAATATCAGGTGAAAAGTCAAGATTTGTGGAAGAAGAAAATAAAAAAAAGAACCCGCAACCTATATTCAAAATTCCACAATAAATGTCGGAGTCCAATCAAACAACCTCTAAATACGGATCAGTGTTTTGCGTAAATAAAGATTTCAGGGTTGATGGGTTGATGTTATTTTTGTTTGTTTGTTTTTACAACTACTGAAAAGCACTTAGCCTACTTGTAGTAACATTGCAGCACACCTACATTTTACATTTCAAGAAATGTGTTGACTATCTTGCCAAAAGCATGCAACACAAATTTATTAAAATACGGATTTGACCCAATAAGAAATCATTTTGGCTAACCAAAGCCTATGGTTTTAATCACAAGGTACTTTCTGTCAATTTAAGTGCACTAACTTTTAATATCCTGGTGACTTTGTCACAACAAAAAATGCATATAGTTAATTTAGTGTTTTTGGTTTTATATCTGGAAACACTACTAAGAGTGCCTCTGGGCCATTGGAAAAAAAATACAAAAAATCCCCAGAACAAAACAAAAAACCATGGGAATTGACATAACTGCTAACAAAGAACAAAATAGCCACAAAGATCGAAAATAGAGCATAAACTGCTTGTAGTGTTGGATCCACCCCTGGTGATTTTCTTACAGTCACAATCCATTACGTCAAAGAGTGATATCTGATCATTTCACACCCTCTATTTTTCTCCTGCATGCTCTTCCAGAGGCAACAGACCAGGGAGTCGGAGGCGGAGGGCGACGGGAGATTAAGTCTGTTCCCTTTATCAACTACCTGTTAGCTCTACAGAAGAGCCAGCTGCTGTCAGATGACCTGGTAAATGGCGTAGAGATCCGCTGTGAAGAGAAGGGCAGCTGTCCCTCTGGCTGCCACCTGTGCCATCATCAGGGCATGATGGGAGGATGGTCAGGGAGAAGCCGCAATGGCAATGGTAGGAGTGGGGAACAGTCTTCACCCATCCCTGTTCTCCTTGAAGTCAGCAGGGTTGTGCCACTCTACAGCCTGATCCAAGACAACATCACCAAAGAGGTGAGAGAGACACAAATGAATTATTCATTATACCATTAAATGAAAAAAAACAAAAACAAAAAAAAAACAGATGAGATAAAGCAAAATAAAACTGATTAACCTGACCTACGTTTAGTTATGTAGTGGTTTGCAAAAAAAAAAAAATACAAATGCTTTGAATAGTGCAACGTTTTGTCACATAACAACAAACTTCAATTTATTTTAGTGCCTGACTTTGGAAAACATCAGACTTTTTATAAATAAAAATGAACATTGTGCCTTCTATGTATTCAGTCTCTACACTGATACTCTTAAATAAAATCCAGTGCAACCAACTGTCTTCAAAAGTCACCTATTATTTAAAAATAAGAGTGTACCTGTGCTTAATGTAATCTCAGCATTGATGTAGCTGTTATTAGAAGCCTGCTTAATAAAGGGCATTAGTGAACAAAAAGTATCACAAAGGACACAGTAGACAAGCTGGAGAGAAAGTTCTAGAGCAGGTTTAGATAATATTAAAGCAGTTTAATATCAGGCCATCAACTGAAAATGGAAATAGTATGACACAACTGCACGCCTATTAAGACACCTGAAATGGGCAAGTAGAGCATTAATCAGAGCAGAAGTGAAAAAGCCCATGGTGTCTCTGGAGGAGCCACAGAGATCTGTAGCTCTGGTGGTGAGAATTTGTTGACAGGACAAACATTAATCATGCATCACCTTGGTCTGTGGGGAAGACGGGCATGAGTCTGTGTTGGAAAAAATAAAAAAATTAAAAAAGCGCACACACACATTTGTGCCCTGGTCTTAGGGAACACAGCAAATGTGAAAGACAGTGCCAAAAATGAATCATTTTGGTCTGCCTGCAAAACATGTTGGAAGACTAATGCGTGGCTCACGTAGTAAGGATGCTTTATTTCAACAGGAGTAGGAAAGCTGGACAGAATTTAATGTAAAATCACCAGATAAATGCAGGGCAATTCTTGAGGAAAGCCTGGTAGAGGCTGCAAAAGATTCGAGGCTGGACTTGTGCAAAGACAATAACCCTAAACATACAGCAAGAACTACAATGGGAAGGTTTAGTTAGAAATATGCTGCATGTGTTAGAATGCCCCCAGTCAATGTCTAGACCTATATTCAATTGGGAATCTGAAAATAGACTCACATTTTTTATATTTTCAGATTCTCCCCCACCATAATTTCTGTCTCTAGAGGTGTAAAGGTGGAGTTGTGGTATTCAGAAGGGGTGTGATTTGGAGGAATATGAATGCTTTTCTGACCACCAGTTTAAGGTGTCAGCTGTAACTGGTGGTGTAAATCAGCTGTGACCCAGTGTCTTTGATAAAAATAGCCTTCTGGGTCAAATCTGACAAGAAGAGCATTCGGCTGATAACACACTCCGGCTGGATAATCTGCACAATTCAAAAACAATTCAAATTGTGCACATTGCTCCTTATTCAGAAGGTGCAAGCACACTGTTTGGCATGTTTTGCTTGGAATGTAATCTAATATAGTATGACTGCGGTGTAACACTTGTAAACCGTGTATATTTTGTTTCCTCTGAAGCATTAAATTAATGTCAGGTGCAGTTGTTGCACCTCACCTATAGAGGGCATGAGTTGGTTAACTTTGACCACTGGGAAGGAGTACTGTAATACAGGCGGCTTAAAAAGATGACATCATGGTTTTTCACTTGTGGGGAAGTCTGTGTGTATGCATGTGAGTGTGTCTGAATGTGTGTCTATCGGTGTTTTAAAACAAGGATGCACTGCTGAATGTAACATTCAGCCGCATGCTGTGTTTCTGATTCATTCTGTATAGGATGTCTTTGGATTTTTTTTTTTTTTTTTTTTTGCAGTGAAAGTTAATCATATCAGATCTGTTTTCCAGAAGCCTAATTTAGGAAGAGGCTCTGGCTTCACTTGACATTTAGTTGACCACATTTTGCCATGTTTGTGCAACATTTAGTGTTCGTCTTCGGAAGCTCGTCTATGGTAAATTTGCAATCTCTTTGCGCAAGAAGGGAGGCAAAAACAGGTGACTCAGAAATGTTCAACATCCGTAAAGCACGCATCTGATTAGGTATCTCCATAAATATCCATGTAAATATGGATAAGTGCATTCAGAAAGCACACGCACAGCATTAACCTCTGTATGTGCCTCTCATAACAAGCACCACAGCCCCAAAGAGTGGGAGGGGCAATCAATAGCAGACAACCCATAACGGGCCTAGTCAATACCTAAATGTGAGGAAATGCAAAAATGTCTCCTCATCGTTGGTGTTCTAGCCACTTAACTACCCTTATTTTTGTCTACCCCAAAACTATCCTTGGTTTTCTGAAGGCATGCAAGAAGAAGACTGAAGAAGACTGGTACCGCAGTAGACTAAGGTACCCCTCTGAGCTGACTTGAGGCAGGATTATTAGCCTCTTATTGATGCCATCAACCTCTGCAGAGGGCAGGGAGTACATCACTCTGCTACTCTTTAGCTTGCATTTTCTTCTCTTATTGGCCACAGCTGCTGCACATCACAATGGCAGATACGTATATTGCATTAGAGACTCGCAGCAACCTGTCTGTCTACACACACAATTGCTCCGTCGCTTCATCTTCATGTGTGCATCTGTCTCTCACACACAATTTCACTTGAGACCGTCTTTCTACTTGGCTGAGTCTGTGGGGAAAGACAGCTGCCATGCTGCAAAAGCTCTCTTGGAAACAAGGCCTCTTTTTCCCCCCCGTTTTACCCTGAATCAATGGAAGCAATCAAATAGAAGCTTATAAGTTCAGTTTATGGTTAGATGGACTTAGATTCTATCTGAATGTGCATTTCTATTTGGATAAATGTGTCTGTAAATGCCTTGTATCTGGCTTCAGTAGATATGTCACTTTCACTTTGGCTCCATTCCTCGCTCTTTTTTTCAGCTGCTGGTATCTTTTCAGTGACCTCAACCACGCTATCTGGCAGTTTGACAGGACATGGCTCTCTCATATATATTCCATGTTAACCCGAAGGGGGTATGGACAATGGCTTTATTGCCATTTCTTTGTAAAGACCTTCACTAGAAATGAAAAGAAACTGAAATGAATATTAAGTATGGTCTACCTCCATGGGAGTCATTCTTCTTACTTTCTGCATGTCGGAGATTGGGTTTTGAAATATTTATTTGGACATAATTTGCTGAGTTATAAGAGACTAGTGAAGAGAGAGGAGAAACAAATTCCGATGGAACAATTTCATAGTCGAAAACAATTTTTTTTTTTTTTTTTTAGACCTCAAATGTCTCAGTGACTTTTAGTCTAGTACAGTGCTGTGAAAACATATTTCACCATTTGCAGATTTCCTCAGTTTTTTTTTTTTTTGTTTTTTTGTTTTTTTTTGGTTTGTTTGTTTGTTTGCTTTTTGTCTAATCGTCCTGAAGGAAAATGTATCATCAGACAAACTGCAGGTTCTACCAAGTTAAGATTTTAATCATTCTGGTCCTGTCTATAAAAAAAGTAATCACCCCCATTG